GCAATACACAATGCCTGTCGTATCACCCTCCCTTGTCGGTCTCCCTGGCTGCTCTGTCTGTTTACTTTCCCCGTCGTCCTGCTTGCCAACTCGGTCTCTCGCCAATCATTGAGTCACCCTCCCCATGCTTCCCCGGAACCCACCCCTTTCTAAACTGCACTCCTGCCTTGACTTCGTTTTTACCTTTGCTGGACTGCCTTTGCTGGACTGTTTATGCCCTTTGCATGTGCATGAGAATTCATGATGTCACTGTCGTCGTCGGTCGATGATAGCGTCCTGGTATTGTCTTCTGGGAGATTACCTTTGTGGTAATGAGGGGCACATTCTTATTATGTTTTATCCTAAACAAACCTGTTTGTGTAAGCAAACCACTAACCCCCGACACTGCGGGAGCCATGGACAGTACAGTCGAGCTGAGATGATGGCTGCAACTGGAAGAAATCTGCTGGGATGCATCTTCTGAAAGTCGATGGGCAGCTGCACGTACTCTAGCCTGAAGAAAACTGGTTGGACTGGCTCCCGAAGGAGGCTCGCTTATCTCTTTTCGCCCACGGAACGGCGCAGAGGAGGGTCGGTGGAGCTGAGATTTCTGGAGATGGAGAAGGGGTAAGGCATGTGATGGCAAGCTACATACTTAATGCACACGCCACCTACGGGGCCCTTTCTCGGACAGCATCTCTGTACAGAGGCAGACCAGCCTCTACGCTGGACAACCCCATGGACCCACAAGAATCTGACGTCTGGTCTTCGTGAGACTTTTCGCACCGCACTGCAGAGAGCCAGGGAAGTTTGATGAAAAATCATGTGCTGAAAGCAGACTGCTACAAGGGACCATGCGTAGTCCTGCCAACGGCGACTGCTTCGAACCCGGCACAGATGACCTCTGCATCTAGACGATGCCATGCTGCCTTTGAGATGAGCTGGGACGTCGTTCCGCAGCAGCTGTGAGAAGGAGTCGCCTGTTTCACCTAAACCAGTGAGAGAGAGCCCCACGTGAAGTGATGCTAAAATCGAACACCTGAGACAAGGTTTGCTTTGCTGTTAATCCAGTGCCTGATGACTAACGGTGTCGTAGGCCGTTCTGCTGCCTTGTACGGTGTCTCAGGTTTCGGCCTCTAAACCTTGGCAGTAACCGGTTGACTAAGGCATATGTCCTTAGAGGAAGAGAGCTTTTGCCTGCATCCACTGCAGAAACTAGCTTGTTGGCTGGAGACCTTTTTCCGGATGATGTACTATGGCACCGCCTGTTGCTGCTTTGAACAGTGGCATGTATGGGCAGCTTGAAGTGTCACGCCGACTTATGCACCTATGGATCCTCGCCTGGCATGTCCAAGTTGTGAGAGTGTAAACCCTAAATTCCTAAGCCCTAAACCCTAAACCCTCGATTCCTAAACCTAAACCCTAAATTCCTAAACCCTAAACTAAACCCTATACCCTGAAAGCTTCAACCGCTTAGCTGCAGGCTGGGTATGGCTGGGTCCTACAACCTCAGTGGGAGCGCCTTGAGGCTTCCCATGCTCCCTTGAAACACTTGGGCTTAGGGTTTAGGGTTTAGGGGCCTATAGTTGAGGGTTTAGGACACTCTAAACCCTGTATAACCTAGCTGTTTAGGGGTTCCTTGCTATGATTTCCTGAGATACGTCCTTCAAAAGGTAGGTCATGTAGCGTTTAGCATGCCAGAGATGCAGCATACGGGTATGCACTAGTATCCCTGACAATCATAAGTCAGACTATACTATACGAAACCCCAAGCGTTCACGGCTTTGGGATTAGGGTTCAAAGCCAAGCTTAGGTATCGAGGGCCATGGAACGACAAAGGTGCCGATTCCCACGGCTCTGCAAAGAGCTTGCGCGCACACTAGACATCCACAGTATAGACTACCCTAAACCCCAACCGCAACCCTAAGCTTCAGTCTTATCTGGAGCAGAAAGCACTGAACATGGCCAGGGGCTATACCAAGCATGTGACGTCATATCGTGTTCCTCGTTCCAGGGAAGGAATGCTGATATAACTCGTACTGTGGCGGTGCTGCAACAGTTCCCAGGCACCCGTCAGACCTCGACAGCGTACTTGATTGTCCTGGCTTTGTCCTAGAACATACTATACTGAAGTATACTACACTATACTATACTACACTATACTATACTGCACTATACTATACTATACTATACTATACTATACTATACTTTACTATACTATACTATACTATACTATACTATACTATACTATACTATACTATACTATACTATACTATCTACGAAACTTCAGTATACTGTACTATACTACACTGTACTATACTATACGGTACCATACTATACTATGCTACTTATACCATACAATACTGTTCGATACTATACCATACCATACTTATACTATATTCCGAACTGCTGCACCCCATGTGGGACTCTTGCTTTCTACGAGTGCATGTTCAGGCAGGGGCCACCGTTCCCCATATCCAAATTCGGAGAAGTCCCCAGGATTCAGGAGTTTAAGGTTTGTGGTCTAGGAATGGGAGCGGATGTAAATGAAGCTGTGTCTTAAGTGTTCAGAAGCTGTTTCGCAAGCTCCGGGACCACAACGTTTTTCAACCCGGACAATACTGAGTCCTGGTGCCACACCGGGCTCTTGCTAAGCAGCTGAACAGAAGTTACTGTAATAGTCAGGCAAACAAGGGTTGCCTATTTCGTGAACTTAGTCGAGCCCTAAAAGACTTAAGTGACCTTATCTTCCTCAACAGCAAGAACTCTGCACAGGCCTTGTGGGATCCACGCACCTCGCCCACCTTCTCCTGGTGTCATTTTCAGCTGGAGCGTCCACGAGAGGTGCTAGAGCTTATTGTCTCTGGTTTTGGGACTCAGCTTCCTTTGAGTGTAGATTTTGGCATGGAAGGCGGGGAGTCAGTGTACCGACAGTTTTGTTGATGTGACGCTCAGAGGACACTTTTGAGGGCTTGACACACGAGTATGTATGATACAGCATGCTGTTTCCTTCGTTGCGGGAGCTCCTGACGTCTCTTGGTTTGAGGTTTCTGGAACGAGGGTAAACTACGCGAGGGGATGTAGAGTACCCATTTCGGGGTTTTCATTCTGCCGGCTCGTTTCGTCTTCTTCTGAGTACCGGCCTTAGGTGTGAGGTTCTGCAGAACAGGGGCATGGAGGGAGTTTCAGCGAGCGCATTGGCGAAATAGGGGCCGACATATGCAGCCATAACACCCTCTCGTTTAGAGCTTTACAGGCATTGTATACTAAAGGCGCAAAACCTACTGTCATGTGTTTTGCTCCGGCAGAAGCTGACACTTCCAGCCGCAGATTGCACGAGGGGCTCATAGACCGAACAAGAACTAGAAATTTCCATGGCGGCAGCAGGAACTGCTGCGGCTCCTCCCCTCTATCCTGGTTGCTGTTCTCTTTTGCTTGTTGTGCATTCTGCTCGTGCTGCCGTTACGAAGACATCGACAGTATGGTGCCGTACTACTAATAGTACTTCTGACTACGGAAAGAGCGAACTGCTTATTGCACTGCAGTTGTTATTCCTTCTGTTGTCAACTATTCGCGTGTGCTACCGCCGACACGAAGTTCGCTGCGGCAACCAGGTATGACCCATAGAAGAGAGAATGTCCTTCATCATCATTATCACCACCATCACCATGACCATCATCATCATCACTTCAAAAGTCACTAACATCTTCTGCCTCATTGCAAACATCACAACATCACTATCCCAAGTACCGCCATCACCGATGTACCTGGCATGTCCATTCTCATTACTACTCTGCAGTCTGCCGCAGTCACAATTCATTCAGCAAACGCCCCGGGATCGGGATGTTTAGGGTTCAGGTTCGGGGGGGGGGGCGGTTGTACCTGTTGTCTGGCGACTGCACGGACACACTACCTGCAACCACACTCTAAACCATGAGCCAGACGGCTTGCCATGCGAGAGCAAAACGAATCCTAAGTACACCATGGGAGATATATTCATCAACATGCCAGGGTTTGGCCGGCATCCACCGGGACCTGGCGAAACTGCCAGAAAGTGTTCCAGGATTGCTGGGCAGGACCGTGCTCTGGTTCAAGCAGTCTACCTGGCTTAGGGATTCCTACGGGGTTTATGAGCGTTTCATCAGGTGTTTTACTTTTGTTGGTTGGTTTACCTTACTTAGCCTTGACAAGTTGAGAACTGTTGGCACGTTGTTGGGTAACCTTTTCTAGGGACTCATGAATCAGAAAATAGGGCAACCGTAGCAAGTATACACTATTGCACTACGGGCAGCCTATCTTCAGAAAAAATACAAGATGCCGGTAGACCCATGGTACGCACTCAAAGAGATGGCAGAGGTTGTTTTATTAAGTACACGAAGTAGTAGGAGTCGTAGTAGTCGTCGTCGTGGTGGTGGTGGCAGTGGCAGTAGCGGTAGCCCCCAGTAAACCTTGCTAAATCGAAATCGCACAAGGCCACTCAGAATAAACAAGTTGACTCTTGAGCCCTTAACGTCAAGACCGGAGCACAAAAGGAGGCACTCTTGATTGTCACTTGTGCGAGGAAGGCTCTGCGTGATGCCGCCCGGCGTGGGGCGGAGAAGACGCCTGGAGCTTACATGCTCTCTTTATGAAACGCTGGCAGGATAGAGCAGGTCTTGACCTAATCATACTGCTGCTTCATGCAGTCTTCAAGTTTCGATGCCTAAACCCTTGCGCCTTGCGGACCCCTAAACCCGGAACCCTAAAGCTCTGAAGCCTAAGCCCTGAAGGCTAGACTTTTCATCCGACTAGCCAAGTGTTCGCGCCCTCAAATCATGATGAGTGTGGGTGGTTGAGAGCTCATGGCTTCGTTGTTTTATTGGGTTTCGTGTCTAGGCTTCGGGGGCTTACGGCCTATGAGCATCAGCTACGTCTAAGTGGCTGAGAAATCTCGTCTCACCGTGGTTCCGTCGGCTCAGCTGCACCCTCTGATTGTCACTCACAGTAGTTTGGCAAACTCCTTTTGTCACTTCCCTTCCAGGATGCACTTTCGGATCTTGCTCCTCTTGCAGGTGGCGGTGGCTGTTCGGGATCATGAGGTGGACTTGGATCAGCTCTCGCTGGATGAGTCGATGGATGAGCCAAAGTTGGACAAACTTTCGAAGGCGATCTCGACTGTCGCGAAGGCCTTCAACCACGAGACGCCGGTCACGATCACCTTCGCCGACGAGCCCCACATCAACATCGTCCAGTTCTTCAACACCACCTGGACGGCTGTTCCCATGACCCAGAACAAAGGTGATCTCGTCATCGCAGGGGGAGTCTACAACATCATCAAGCTGCTTCGGTCCCGGAATCTACTAATTTCTTGCCCCGTCCTTTGGGCGCAACATGGCTGGGAGGCCTACATGTCCATCACGCACCCGGCACAGAAGGCTAGCGCTGTTCTAACCGGCTTGGTGACCAAGGGACTCATCGACGTGGCGAACATTGGTCACCTGAAGGACGTCTTGGCAAAGATGATGGGTATGACAGACTTCCAGTACCCAGCGAGCATGCTCGCCGCCGGCGCGAAAATCCTAGAAGCGGGGACCAGCGAGATGGGAATGTTGAACAGCAGCACCATGCATCACGCAGAGGCCGTGCGGTCGTCGGGAACCGAGGTAGACGACACAGCCGGACAGAACAGTACCTAGGTTTATGATGAGGCAGGAACTTTTTCACAAGTTGTTATACATCAAAATAGTGCTTCTTTGTGATGGTGGTTCACACTAAGTTCTTTAACAAGAACACAGGTACCAAGTTCCACCAGGTCGTTGACGCAGTCGCAGCTCTGCTGAGTGAAGTGAAGCTGCCTGAAGCGAAGCTGCAGGTGCTGAGGGCGAAGGACTCGCTCTCTGACCAGCCCGAAACCCCAACCCTAAACTTCAAGGCTAGTACCCTAAACTGGTTCCAAATTTGAAATCCTTCCTTAGGTTTATACCTTAGGCCTCAGACTTACACCCTAAGTGCGGTTTAGGCCCAAGTTTAGGTTTAAAGGACACGAAGCGTGTGGTGCGCCTCATGCTTGGCGCAAAATACACGGAGGAGGGCGCCTATGACCTCCGCATGAGGTGCCCGGTTTCTTCTTCAGGACCTTACTTCAAGTTATAGAAGACTATGAAGTTAAAATGCCAGAGAGAATACTGCCTTCAGGACTTTTTATGGGATCGAAGAACGGGAAAACTGCTGTCCGAGACAGAGAGATAGGGAGCGAGAGAAAGATGGAAAGAGAGCGAGAGAGAGAGTAAGCATGAGCAAGAGCTTTGAAGACGAATCTGGGTAATCACGGTTCTCTCCGGAAAACACCGAGGTGCATGCAACCCGATCCGCAGAAGAGCCCCTTTGTCTACATCCCAAATCCGAACGGGCCGATCCCGTTGAAGACGCAGCTCCTGGCCGGATTCATCCTGGCGCTCTCATGAGACGCTTGGAGCATCATAGTTTCAAAAAGTAGAACTTATTATATAGTACTATTTATGACTCTTATGATAGTATATTATTATATAATAGTTTCAAAATATGATAGTATTTATATTATATAGCATTTTTTATGGTGGTATAGTGTTGTAGTATACAGGACTGAAGGTGGTGAAACAAATCCCAAAGAGAGCCCGCAAGGGAAGCTTCTTGAAGCGGTACGGCTCAAGTCATCTGAGGCATCTGTGCACTCTTGGAGCAGTACCCCTGAATGATGGAAGGTGGGGTTAGGCTGTCTGATCTGGGTGGAAGCATGGCATAGCGCTGCCATGATTAGCATCCACATACATCAGCTTGCCCGGTCAAGCCTCGCCAGCCCGTGCAAGCCGCGGGGCACTTTCGCTTGCTTGTATGGATGATCGCCAAAATAAAAAGAGAGCCGCACTGAGAGAGTTCGAAGTAGAAGGTGCCGTGTGACGCAGTCTGCTCCACGCGAAAGTAGGACCCCAGGATTTAACTTGACAAGGGTTCGTGCTAAAGGCTGAAGCTACTCGGTGGACCACCACGACGAGTCCAGCATCCGAGGCCTGCAGCACCACCTGGAAAGAAATTCTCACAAACCTATTCGGGGTTCCCAAGAGGATCCCTATATAAGCTTTAGTGAACTCTTCTAGAAACCCCCTTTTAATACCCAATCCCTGTGTTAAAGCGTCTCTGGGGCATGACGCGCTAAAAGTGCCACACTCTCAAGGTCCCCGTAAACCATAGTGCTCCATATACCGGATTCAAATTATGGGCTATAGGCTATTGTGTTACCTACGACATGATGGTAACCTTTTGTTCATGGATCCCACAGAGCTTCTTGCTAGAGCTTGCATTAGTGGTTTTGTGTCAGCAAGATTGGTCCAAAGCAGGGTGGATGGGGGGGTTGCAGGCAGATGTCCTAGCCGGCATGTTTTCTGCTTCCCGATCGCTTGACATGAACCCTCAAACCACAAAGCCACACACGGTGGTTGGCACTGCAGCAACATGCCCGTTCCGGTGAGATAAAACCTATGTTTCGGGTCAAGGTTTTTAGCTTTCAGCTCAGGTTTGGGGTTCGAGATGCTTTCGGTTCTGGGCTTCGTAGTGCCTTGAAGAGCTTAAAGCCCCGAAAACTCGCACCGAAACCCAAAGCACACATTTCCTCACCAACTCTGTCAAAGCCCACCCCACCTCCCCACCCCCGATTGACCCTTTCATCCGAAACCGCAAAGTCTAAGCATCCCAAGAACACAAAAAGCAAGCCACTGCCAGGGCCCTAGAGGCTTTGCAGTACTGGTGGCTCGAGGCAATGGCGGCAGCTGTGTTGTAGCGTGGTAGAGTGTTGCGTTTAGGGCTAAAGTTTGGGCGTGCTTTTTTTGTTTCTCGAATTCCCTGCTGAGTGAAAGGTTCGGAGCTTGTACGTGCGTGTGTGTGTGTGCGGGTGTGCGTGTGTGTGTGTGTGCGTGTGTGTGTGTGTGTGTGCGCGTGCGGGTGTGTGTGTGTGTGTGTTTCGCTTCGAGGTGCGGGATTGACTTGGATAGAGTGGGCGGGGCCGTCGCGGGGATTGCGCGCAGCGATTACAGGATCTGGCATGGCTTTGCATGCCGGCTTTCCTCAAGGCCTCTGTATCAACAGGGTCAAGATGGGGTAAGATGCTAGTCCACTACAGTTGTCCTTGTTACTGTCTCCGGGCTAGCACGACCGCTTGCAGTTTCATATGCGAGACTGGGTAGTTGAAAGCCGGTTCCTGCGCGTTTCGCCGCTGTGAATGCCTCCCAGCCTCATCCGACGACTACTTACCATACTATCACTACTCCGGCTAGGAGTATTACTGCTGCTGCTACTCTTCCTGCTGCTACTACTCCTGCTACTGCTACTGCTCCTGCTCCTCCTGCGACTGCTCTTGCTCCTCCTCCTGCTGTTGCTTCTGCTGCTGCTGCTGCAGCTGCTGCTGCTGCTGCTGCTGGTGTTGTTGTTGCCGTTTTTGTCGTGACTGCTACGAACAACCACGATCACACCCACATTGGCAACCACAAGAATGACCACGACCACCACCATCACCACCACGACCACGACGACGATCACGACAGCGACAAAGACAACGACAACAGCGGCAGCACCAACAACAGTCACTAGAGTAACAGCGGCAGCAGTAACAGCAGCAGCAGCAGCAGCGGCCACAGTAGTACCTGGCAGCTGCACAGCGAAACATCAGTGTGACCGTCCTGCAATTCCAAGTCTAAGTATCCCCAACCCTGCCAGACCTGTCAGAAACTTCACATCTGTGCTACCACCTCTAGGCCCAGCGCGCGTGGGGTGTCCTGACGCCAGAGCTCGTACAGAGGCTCGATAGCTTTGACGGGAACCTTTTTGTTTGACTCCATCCATGTGCTAGTCTCTCGTTTTCGGAGTAGGGTAAGCCTAGGGGTAGAGTATGCAGGTTGTGTACAGCACACACTAGCTGTTTACTTGTCACTGCGCATGTGTGGAGTAGGCTTCTATGACGTTCATTGAGCGAGTCGTGGTAGTGACACTTCAATCTGCTTGAAAGACGATCGATTTCTTCAGGTCCTCTCAATGTTTCCACGGCCACAAACTTCAGGGACGTTGTAACAACCCTATACTCTAACCCGACCGGAGAGTGTTGCGTCTAAGCAAGATTGGGAGGCTTGCCACCTTGTTTCTCCGAGGTCCCAAAGACCATTTTCTGTTACGTTGCCTTAGGAATCGAGTCGGCGATGTAGAACCGTTTTGCATCTGAACAAAAGAGCAAGGCTTAAGACTGAATGGCGAAGCAAGGCTGGATGACAGCTGAGGTCAACTTAGCCCCATGAGCCTTCGAGGCAGTGTACGGCCCTGCAGCCCTAAATCTAGTGATTACAATCTGTAGTCTAAGCTCCTTCGGGCTGTAGAGGGGTATTGGGTTGAGGTTTTGTGCATGATGGATGCGTTACGTTACAACCTCACATTCTACTTCAGGGGTCTGAACCCTGAGTCGTACTACGCTCTGGTCGTTGCGATGTAGTTATAAAGCCTGCACAAACTTTATTCTAGATATAGAGGCTAGCGCCATACTATAGGGCCGTGAAGTTTTACCATTAGCAACTATTCTCTTATGGTCCTGTCCGCTTCTATATGGTACAACATCCCTGAGGCATACGAAACCGGCTTACTGCCCGTCGTTTTGATTTCGGCTTTTCAAGAGAGGCCATTTGCCGCGATGTTGGCCGTCCTCGCGGAGGGCCACACCAAGGCCTTGGGTCCCCCAACGAAACAACGAAAGGCTGAGGTTTCGGTGGATTAGAGACAACCTGGGTTCCTTTTTATGTAATGTTTTTTTGTGTTTTTACTTCGTAATGGTGCTCGTTTGTTACTGATGTGGGAGCGTGATGCCAGGTTTGGTGTCTAGGATTCAAGAACCAACCTGCAGAAAGATCTTGAATGAAGCCAGGCAGTAGGGTCGTCGAGAAAACCCCCTGGTGTCGAGTGTAGAGGTCAGCATTTCGACCTGATCCTACACACCAATGCCTTCACCACTGTTTTGCTAGGTTTGCCGACGCAAGTTGACCAAGATCTGCAGCCTGTGCGAAAGGGTCATCTAGTAGGCTGGTTGAAATGCCATACTGCTCCTGAGCATGCCACCTATGCAGGAGGCCTCTGCCGCTAGTGCTCGACAATGACGTTCGGTTTCCAGTATTCCTACCAAAAAAGCCCAACCATTACACAGACGTTCATGCGCAACCTAATATGTTCTTTCAAATATCGAGCTGTAGACGATTCGTTGAAGATGGACAACCCTAAACCCTAAACCCTAGCGCACAGAAGCAGGACCGGACCGACAAAAGCCTGCTTCGAACTATCCGGCCCGCGTGAACCAAGCAAGAACATGCTTGGCAGGAGGGCGTTTGGGAGCGCAACAAGGCACCACTACTGCTGCTGCATGCTACTGCTACTGCTACTGCTACTGCTACTGCTACTGCTACTGCTACTGCTACTTCTACTTCTACTTCTACTACAACAACAACTGCTACTACTACTACTACTAATAATAATAATAATGCGACCACTACTAC